GGGGTGTAGTTCCCATAGAGGCGAATGAGGGTGGGGTTACTAGGATGGGTGCGGATGGTATATCCCAAACGGAAGTGAGGTGTCTCTTGGTTTCAGGACTTCCGGCGAAGTGTGGGGGGGAGGAACGGCTGGTGTTGGTGGTGGGTGCAGCAGCCCGAGGGGCTCTCGGATCTTGGTGAGTCCGAGCGCTTGGGGTGCATGGGAGCCGGGGAGCGAGGGGCTGTGGGAGGAGCTGACCCTGAGGGACATAGGGAGCGGGGGGTGCTGGAAGGGGAGACCGGACCTGGGTCGGTGGCGTGTGAGAAGGGGGCTCGATACTGGGCCTGAATAAAGTGTTTTTGGGGGGTGATGAGTAGAGTGGGCAGGGTAGCGCCTGTGTAGAGGGAAGTATCTGAGGAGCTGGGAGGGGGCACTGGGGCTTAAGTACTTGTTGGGGGATCTGAGCTGTTCAGGTTGGGAAAAGGGGGACAAAGATGATGTGAGGCGTAGCAGAGCCCACATGGATGAAAAGTGCCTTTTTATGGCTTCCCCAAAAGTGCCTGAGGTGGGAGGGGTGGTTTTGTGTGTGTTTTGGTGTTGTTCGTGGACTGTGGGAGAAGGGACCCTTAAGGAAATTGATGTCTTCTCTTTCCTTCAGTATTGAAAATGATGAGAGAGCACTTATGAGATAGCTCAGGTAGAAATGAACATCTCTTCCCCTTTCCAATTCATGTAATGTCTTCCCTTTCCTCTATCTCAAATTGCAGTGAAGCTTAAAACCCAACTTGTGGGAGGACATAAGTTAAAGGAGAAGCAAGCATTAAAAATGGGTGCGGTGGGAGAAAGTATGAATGCTGGAGTTGTCCTATCTGCCCGCAAGATTGAAATGTATCCCAAGCACTTTATATAGTAAGTCTTGCTTAGTGGGAGAGGAAGGCTCAGTTCTGCCTTCCAGTATGGAAGGTTGTCAGGATTCCCTGGAACCAGAATTTGAAGCCCAGTGGAGATAACATTGCCACATGGAAGGCTGATAAATAAGATTCTGCAGTATATAAATGAGGTCTTTTTCAGGGTAGAAACTATAGATACCACCTAAGCACTCTTAGTACTTTCTGATGCAAAGGGAACACGTGAGCGTGTCTTGAATAAAAAATTCACCTGTCCAGTCCCTTCTTAACACAGTCAGTTATGATTTCACTCCTTCATTTCAGAATGAACTGGTTTCAAAGATGCTCAAGGTCTGTCTCTCATATGTGCTCCCCTTTCCATCCTCTTCATCTATCCTGTTTGAGTATTATCCATGAAAAAGTATGCCCTAATACAATTGTTAGTCTTTAAGAAGGCACCACAAGACCTGTTGTTTTTGCAGATACAGACAGAGTAACACAGCTACCCCTCTGGGCCTGTTTAGACTGTAAGCTGTTTGAGGCAAGGTCCCTCAACTATGCTGGGGTAGGCAATAGTTTTTGATGGGGGATCACTCCCAAGATTTTAGTAAGTGATCAAGGGCTGCACTTTTTTATGGAGGGTCAGGGATAGATGCAGAAGGGAGCTCAGAGTAGGAGATTGGGATGCAAGAGAGGATGTGTGGTCTGACTGAGTTTGGGTAAAGGAGGGGGTTGTGACCTGGGGCATGGGATTGGGGTGTAGGGTCTGGCATGGAGTATGAGTGCAGGAAAGGATTCTACCTGGGGGGAGGGATGTAGGATGAAGTTCAGGGTCTGAGGGAGAGTTGTGACTTGGGGTGGGGGAGAGGTGCAGAGAGGGAGGGGCAGGTCACCACTAAACTTTCCATACCTCCCCCTCACTTCAGGTCACAGTTCCCTCCCAAGCACTGCGCACACACCCACGTCACTCACCTAGGTCAGAGTTCTCTCTTACACCCATACCCCCTCTACCTCCCAGGGCAGAGAGGCACATAGAACAGATAGCAGCTTTGGGTGGCCTGGAGATGAGGCAGGCAGGAATCCTGCCTGAGGGTCCTACTGGTCTGGTGGCTGGATTATAAAGGCTTGGAGTGCTAGATCCAGCCCAAGGGTTGTATCATACCTGCTCTAGGACTATACTGTACAGTGCCCTGTGTAATGAAGCTCCTTTCTTGGTTGGCCCGTAGATACTACTGTAGTAAAAAGGGTTAAGAATATATAGGCAGTGAAGCACTTCCAGAGCCTTTGGTGTGAAATACATTAATGAAATGTAAAATATATTAATGAGCTAGAAAACTCTAGAAATGCTTAAAGTACTACATTATTTTAATGCTAAGTGGACTGACTGAAACTTTTTGTGTGGGACATGGAAATGATATCCTTATGAGCACCTCCAAATGGTAAACCCTGATGTGTAGATACAGGCTGTTAGCATTCCTGTTATTAGCTACTTGCAATGGCTATGGTACGTGTAGCTCCTCTGTTTGAGTAACTTATGTAGCTAGTCACGTGCAGGCTCAGAAACTATCATCTAACATTTTAACCACAACTCTGCTAGCTGTTTTATATAGTTTAAAATACCTTAATCTAAACATGATTATAATTCACAGGTTTAGGGGACAATGAGTTTTATTTAAAATGAAGCAATGAGAAAGATGTGGTCTCAAAAAGTCATCTATAAATAACTTCCTGAAAGAACCAGGACATGGCCAAAGAAGCAATCTGAATGGCTAACTATAATACTACTTGTGATATGGGAAATGTATGACAGTCCTAGTGTCTGGAACTACTTTGTTTTACATGTCAGTGTTTTGCTTTTTACAATGTGATGCTTTAATGTTCTCTCTCAGGAGTGCTGCTAATCAGTCTTCAATATTTAAACATTTGGAAAATACACATGTGTCTCTCTCTGCTCTTGTAGCTGGAGAATTATGAGACCAATGATCATGGGTTCTATGCCTGGCTCTGGAAGAGAGTGCTCTTTAGTTGGTAAAGCAGATAATTCTGGGAGTTATAAGACCTAATTCTGTTCCCTTGCCTGTTACTGGCATATTTTATTATTTGTCATTATGTTAGTGCCTTGAGGCCCCACTCTGCTAGTTGCCTTCAATACACTTGCCCTGAAAAGCACATAGTCTACTTTTAAAAAGGCAGAGGATGGGAGAGAAAAGGAATGATTGTTGTTTCTGTTTTGTGACTTAGGTACAAAATGATAGTGATGTACCCAAGGACACGGAGCAATTCAGTGACAGAACTGGGAACGGTATCTAGATTTGAGTCTCAATCTGGCACTTCATCACTACAGAACCATCCTTCTCCTGCCTTGCTTTGTGCTCATAGGCCATGTGCTCCTCTCCTCTCCCCCCTCAATAAGATGTGAATAATGTCCCTATTTTCATACACCAAGAATCTTGACTGAAAGGTGCTATTCAGCATGGTTTTGTGGATAGAACACTGGGTTGGGGCTCAGGATACTTAAGTTCTATTCCTGGCTCTACCACTGGTCTGCTGGGTACCTGTGGGTAAATCACTTTTATTTTCCTGTAACTCGATTTTCACATCTGGAAAATGGGGATAATGATTAGACCACACTGAGATCTACTGTTGAAAAGTGCAATAGGAGCTAGGTGCTTAATTTATAAATGTATTAATCAAGATATTGAATGTTGTTTTTATGGCATATATCAATGAGCATTTGACCAAAGAAGTTCACATAGTAGCTAAATGCACAGTGTATAGAAGTCATAGATTCCAGGGCCAGAGTGGGCCATTGTGGTCATCTAATCTGGCCTTCTGTGTGACACAGGCCATAGAACTTCCCCAAAATAATTCTTAGAAGGGATCTTTCAGAAAAGATCCTATCCTGATTTAAAAATTTTCAATCTACCATATTTGGTAAATTGTTCCTTGGGCCTAATGTCTTCACTGTTAAAATATATGCCTTATTTTCAGTCTAAATTTATATAGCTTCATATTCCAGCCATTGGATCATGTTTGACCTTTTGTTAGATTGAAGAGCCCATTCTCAAATATTTATTCCCATATAGGTAATTACAAACTCTTAATCTTCTCTTTGTAAAGTTAAATAAAGTGAGCTCTTTAAGCCTATTATATAAGGTATGTTTTCAGATCCTTGAACCATTCACATGGCTCTATGCTTAAACCTCTCCAATTTTATCAAAATTCTTGCTGAACTGTAGACACCAGAACTGGACACAGTGTTCCAGCAGTGGTCATACCAGTGCCAAATTCAGAGGCAAAATAATCTTTCTACTCTTATTCAAGAATCTGCTGTTTATGCTTCCAAGAATTATTAGCCTTGTTGGCCTCAGTGTCATAGGGCAAGCACCAATCCCTGTAGGACTGCACTAAAAATATACCCTAGTGATGGTGATTCTCCCTTTACAGTCACCTTTTGAGACCTATCAGTTAAGCAGATTTTAAAATACTTAATGTGCATTCTGTTAATTTTATTCTATTTTTAATGAAAATGTAGTCCAGTATCAAATCAAACACTTTACAGAAGTCTAAGCATATTTGTCAATCATTCTTAAAAATCTCATCAGTAAATGATACCATGTTAGCATGACAATGTCTATTTTCCATAAACCGATGTTGAGTGACATTAATTATATTTCCCTTTTAGAATTCTTTATTAACCAACTCCCGTTAATATTCCATTCCATTACCTTGCCTGGCATCTGTCAGACTGGCAGGCCTGTGTTTGTCTAGGTCATCCTTTTTACTCTTTTTAAATATTAGCACAACATTAACTTTCTTTCTCTCTTGTGTAACTTCCCCAGTGTTCCAAACTTACTGAAAATCAACATTAACTTTTTTAGCAGCTTTTTTAAAACTTGTGGATGCAAGTATCTGTGTTTTCATATAATCATAGGACTTGAAGGGACCTCAAGAGGTCTAGTCCAGTCCCCTTCACTCATGGCAGGACCAAGCACCATGTAGACCGGTGGTACACAACCTGTAGGTTGGTCGCAGATGTCTTCCCAGGGGGTTGTGGCACTTAGAGCCGGCCAGGTGGCAGCCATGCAGCGCAGTGTTTAGATCCTGCCAGCTGGGGGCTGGGTGCGGCTGCGCACAGCACTTAGATCTGGTTGGCCGGTGGCTGGTCCCAGCACTTTGCAGCCCCTGCAGAGCGGGGGTCGCAGATCAAAAAACTTTGCACACCACTGATATAGACCATCCCTGACAGGTTTTTGTCTAACCTGCTCTTAAAAATCTCCAATGATGGAGATCCCACAACCTCCCTAGGTAATTTATTCCAGTGCTTAATCATCCTGACAGCTAAGAAGTTTTTCCTGATGACCACACTAACTCTCCCTTGCTCCAGTTTAAGTCCATTACTGCTTGTCCTATTCTCAGAAGTTAAGAATTTTTCTTCCTCCTTCCTTGTACCAACCTTTTACCTACTCGAAAACAGTTACCATGTCCCCTCTCAGTCTTTTCTTTTCCAGATTAAACAAACCCAGTTTTTTTTCAATCTCATAGGCTAAGTTCCTGGTAAGCTGTTGGTCCATGAGGCTGTGCAGCTTCCCGTTAAGCCCTGCACAGGGCCTTGGGGCTGCATTAGGGAGAGATGCTTCTCCTTGAGCCCCAAAGTTGATGTGGCCAGCAGGAGGGGAGGTGCCCCTTGCTGGCCTTGGCAGGGAGTTGTTGCAGCTGAGGAGTAGATTCTCTTCCATACCTCCAGCTTCCTCATGGCTAAGGCAGCTCTGTGCTGGGGCCAAATACAGCAGAACCTTCTAGGCAGGGGGACCATAAGACTCCCTGCACTGCCTCTACCCTGTCAGTGAAAGCAGCAGGTGCAGTGTGCCATGGAATCTCATGCTCCACCTCTAGGATACCTGCTGGTCACATTCGGGGTGCAACCTGCCTTAGAACCGCTGTCCATGAGCTGCCCAGGTAAGCCCAAGTCCCTGTCCCACCATGAGACCTCCTCAACCTGGAGCCACCTCCTTTACCTCAAAGCCCTCATCCCAGACTCACCTTGAAGCCCACACCCCCAGCTCAGTGTCTGTACTCCCTCTTGCACCCCAATCCTCAGCCTTGAGCCACTCCCCAAACCTGGAGCCCTCCTCCTGTCCCACAAATCTCTCATCTCCACATCTCTCATCTCCACCAGGGAACCTGCATCCCCAGCTGATACCTTTATATCCTAATCTTCAATCCCAGCCCTGATCCCCTCAACCCCAGCCCCCACTCTGGAGCCTACACCCACAGTTGAAGCCCTCACAGTCCAGCCTTCTGACCCAGGCCTGAGCCCCCTTCCACACTTAGAACTCCTCGGCCCCACTCCCACCACCTGAATTTTGCTATGTGCACCAATTTAAAGGTGATGTGTTGCACTTCACCTCCACATTGGTGCACTTAAAATTAATTTTGCTTGGGGCAGGAAAAACTAGAGGGATTTCTGTTCATTGGTCATGTTTTCCAGACCTTTCATAATTTTTGTTGCTCTTCTCTATACTTTCTCTGATTTATCCACATCTTTCCTGCAGTGTGTGGTGCTCAGAACTGGACACAGTACTCCTATTGAGGCCTAATCAGAGCAGAGCAGAATTACTTCTTGCATCTTGCTTATGACACTCCTACTAATACATCCCATAACAATGTTTGCTTTTTTTTGCAACAAGTGTCACACTGTTGACTCATTTTCTTGTGGTTCACTATAATTCCCAGATTCCTTCCACAGTACTCCTTCCTATGCAGTCATTTCCCATTTTGTATGTGTGAAATAGATAGTTCCTTGCTAAGTGGAGTACTTTGCATATGTATCTATTGAATTTCATGCTATTTAGTTCACACCCTTTCTCCAGTTTATTCAGAGCATTCTGAATTTTAATCCTGTCCTCCAAAGCACTTGCAACCCCTCCCAGCTTGGTACTGTTTTCAAACTTTGTAAGTGTGCTTCCTGTGCCATTGTTTAAATCACTGATAAAGATATTGAACAGAATTGGGCCCCAAACTGATTTCTGCAGGACCCCATTTGTTATGCCCTTCCAGCATGATTGAACCAGTGATAACTACTCTCTGTGAACAATTTTCCAATCATTTTTGCACTCATCTAGGTTGCATTTCCCTAGTTTGTTTATGAGCGGGTCATGGAAGACGGTATCAAAAGCTTTACTAAAGTCAGGATATACCTTCCCACCCCTCCCCTCCCCCCATCCACAAGACTCATTACCCTGTAAAAGAAAGGTATTGGGTTGGTTTGACATGATTTGTTCTTGACAAATCCATGCTGACTGTTACTTATCTTATTCTCTTCCAGATGTTTGCAGATGGATTCTTAAATTATTTGCTCCATTATCTTTCTGGGTACAGAAATAAAACTGGTCTGTAATTCAGTGGGCTCTCCTTATTTCCCTTTTTATGGATGGGCAATATATTTGTCCTTTTCCAGTCTTCTAGAATCTCACCCATATTTCAGGACTTCTCTGTATTTTTCCCAAATGCAGAACAAAAATAGCTATTGACTCCTCTGCCTTTTCTGCATTCTTGATAATTCTACCATTTACAACTAGTAATAAACCAAACAGTTGTTTTTGTTCTTAATGTATTTTTAAATACTCATTTTGTCTTTAATTCTGCTAGTCATAGATTTCTTCTTGTGTCCCTTTGATTCCCTTATTCATTTTCTATTTTTCCTGGATTCTGACTTGTATTCAATAGTTAACTTTGTCTTTCTTCCATTTATTATAGTTTATCTTTTGATAGCTGGAATGTGCTACTTCACTTCCCCTCTAAATGAGGTCAGTCTGGCCTATAAAATGTAATGGAGAATCCTTGAAGGAGCAGGGTAAAAACTGTCTAGCTTGGAGAAAGCTCAAGTTTTCATTAATTTTTCTGCTCAGAGCCTGGACAGTGCAGGAAAACTGTTTTCATGGTTAGGTTTATAGGCAATACAATGGCAGTATTCACTTTCTTGACTGAACTATATGGATTGCATAATCACCACTGAATAAATTGAATTTTTGATGCTAGCGAAAGGCTGAACTTGGATTATGGCCTCTCTGAAGTTTTGATCTGTTTTCAGCAGGCATTTGTTTTAATATATCAGTTGGCCTTCCTGATTGTCTAGGTTCAGCCTCCTGCATAACAGAGGCCAGACAATGTCACCTAGGGATTCCTGGATCAAGTTAATCAATTCTGTTTTGAGTTAGATCATGTCAGATATTTCAGCATTCATTATACACCTCCAGGGTTGGAGGAAAATACTTCCTCTCCTGCATATGCCTCTGGTATAATGTTGGTATTAAAAACTAATCTTAGTTGTGGGCATTAAAATACCCGTGATTTCACAAAGATGTGATGCTATAGAACCTATGATGTCATGGCCAAATTCCAGCTTGGAGATTTGCTTTCTTCCTACCAAAAATTCTCCTCAAAGTTCCATCTTGATGGATGTGTTTTTTGCTCCCAGTTATAAATTGTTTATCGGTGCTGCTGTGTAGCTGTTTAAGAGCTTCTCTCTCCTACCCTGAAGGTGGCTGCATCAAATGATTCTTTTGTTTGTAATGTGCTTTGGTATCCTTAGATAACTATTTACATCCAGGTTAAAGGAAATTCGCTATGTGATCACCTAGGGTGTGCTAGGCATTTTACAGACGAATATTAGAAGACAGGTTCTATTGCCTGGTGGGAACTTACATAATGGTTGGCCAATCTAAAGGAGATAGAGAGGGGGAATGTATTGAAAACTTTAAGCCAAGAAGCAGCAAACCAAATACAACAATGATCCACAGATCCCTTACTATGCACATTTGATCTAAAGGCAGCTGTGGATTTATTTCATACCTACATACCCATATGCTCATGTCTGTCTTCTCTCACGCAGGTCGTTGGGCTGGGGAGATGTTCCGATCAGCAATCATGATGGCTGCCAGCCTGGCTCTGACATCAGCAGTAGTGGCTCATGCCTATTACTTGAAGCATCAGTTCTACCCAACAGTGGTATACCTGACCAAATCCAGCCCCAGCATGGCAGTGAGTATACAATTCATGGGCTGTACAGGTTGCTCTGATAATGGCTCAGGCTGTCAAATACTGGTATTTAACTTGCTCTGCTACAGTGGCCATCTACAGCCCTGTGGAACTGGCTTGTCTCCAGGGGATTGGTAATGAGAGCTAGTCTTTGAACTCCCAATTTGGTAGTGACTGAAAATCATTCCTGTTTTGTGCTGATCAGAATATGGGGGCCTTGTCCGCTTTGAGAATCAAAGCTGCAATTAACTCAACAAAGTTGGCACAAATTTTCCCCCTTACTGTCAGTATCAGCAGAGAGAATGTAAATTAAGTTTGCCATGGAATTGAAGCTTTCATCTTACAGTTGAGATGTGGTATAAAAACAGAAGGAGGATTAATGCAAACTCCTGTCAATGCAGTCCTTCTAATCAGTGCTGTACAGGCTGTCCTTACTTATGTTCCAAAACACTTGGACTTATAGCGAAACAACTTAAAGCAGGGAATTTTTTTTCCCTGTGGCTGACTTCCATTTGCACAAATTGGAAGGTTTTTTTGCACAACTTAAGAACAGGGAATGGAAGGACTTACAACACATCAGTTCCTACAAGCGTCAGTGACTTTAGTGTGGAACAGATGTATATCAGAGTGACTTATAGTGGGGATGCCCTGTATTCCAGTCCCTGAAAATAATTTGTCATGGAGTGCCTCAGCATTGACTTTAGTGTGGAACAGATGTATATCAGAGTGACTTATAGTGGGGATGCCCTGTATTCCAGTCCCTGAAAATAATTTGTCATGGAGTGCCTCAGCATTTACATAGGGGCTGTGTCTAAACTGGGCCACTTATTCCGGAAAATCAGCCGCTTTTCCGGAATAAGCTGCGAGCTGTCTACACTGGCCCTTGAATTTCCGGAAAAGCAACGATGCTCTACTGTACAAAATCAGCTGCTATTCCGGAAAAACTATTCTGCTCCCGCTCGGGCATAAGTCCTTATTCCGGAACACTGTTCTGGAAAAGGGCCAGTGTAGACAGCCCAGTAGTCTTTTCTGGAAAAAAGCCCCGATCGCGAAAATGGCGATTGGGGCTCTTTTCCGGAAAAGCGCGTCTACATTGGCCACAGACGCTTTTCCGGAAAAAGGGCTTTTCCGGAAAAGCAGCCTGCCAATGTAGACGCTCCTTTTCTGGAAAAACTGAAAATGGAATAGTATTCCGTTTTAAGCATTTCCGGAAATTCATGCCAGTGTAGACACAGCCAGGGAGAGAGGGACATCAGTGTTTTCAAAAGAGCTGAAATCAGGGTTATTTGTTGCAGAGCAGAGCCAAGTCCTGCACAGTCTTTGGCTCTGTCATTTGCTTGGATTGATTAACTCTTAAATTGGAGGCTTAGCAGTTGAGGTCCCCAGTGAATCTTGCTAGCCAGTGAAGATATTGGCTTCCATGTTCATTGTGCTTTCATTTAATTGAGTACATGTAGTGTCATTGAAAGATGATGGATTGACAGCTCTGGAGTCTCTCACGCTGCTTATCGCAAGCATAGGTAAAGCATTGCCAGCAGCAGGGTAAGTATTCCATACTGATCCTCCACTAATAGGCTTTAGCTCTGGCCTGAAGAGAATTCTGTCTCCATGGTCTGTTGTGTATTTAACCACTGAGGATGCTAATAAATGCAAACTGTGATGGTGACTGTATCCATCTGTTAAGGAATGGACAGAATCCTGTCCTTCTCCTCCCATAGTTTACTTCAGGGATCACTGGACAGCATTCAGATGAGTCGTTTCTCTTTATCAATATAATTCAGTGGCTCTTTTTTCAGTTCACTTCTGCTTTCTATTCCCCCAGGGTATATTGACCAAAACAAACACTTTCACGCTACAGCAGTTGCTGAGCAAGTAGTACTCGGAACAAGCTACTGCTTTAGTGTGGGAAGTATTAATAAGCATGTGTGCATGCAACTGATTCCACAGCTGGCTTGCAAAATTCTAGCTAAATTTGGAAAGTCTCATTAATCTGTTTTCAGTTGGGCTTTTTTAACTTCGACAGTAATGTGCAGGTGCACGTGGGGGTAGAAATCTGTTCATCTCACCAGCACCACGCAGTAACCAAAACACTTTCACAATAAAAATTCCAGACCCAGCGGTACACAGATTTCACGCATCCTGAAGCACATAAGGATGTTCTGAAAGCGTTAACTGAAAACTAGTTGGTATGTTACTTTGGGGATGGGAAATAAGATGAGAGTGTTATGTGCCTTGAAAGTGGACAGAGGAAGTCATAGCTGGTTAAAGTAGATCCCTGGGGTATTGTAAATCTTAGATTTTAAGCATTGGAAGATCTGATCTAGGTCAGGAGTGCTGCAGGATTGTTCTCGCCAGCCTTTTCTTGTGATCCGGTTTGGTTCATTAGCTCCGATGTGTTTCTTTTGGTTCAATCTCTCCCTTTTCCTTCCCTGCAGGTTCTCTACATTCAGGCTTTCGTTTTGGTTTTCCTCCTGGGCAAATTCATGGGCAAAGTGTTTTTTGGCCAGCTCCGAGCAGCAGAAATGGAGGTGAGTGAGATCTCTGGCAGTTGTAGCAAACTACTTGCAGCAGAGTCTTACATTGGTGATGAAGTTACGTAGTAGTAGAGGGCTGCTCCGAGAGCTGCATTGATTGTAAATTAATGGGGTTTTGGCACTGAGCATAAAATTATGCATCTGTCTTTGGTACTTGCGTGACCTCCATTTTGGGTGTCTGAGCATTTTGGTCTCAAATGTATTTATCCTCCCAACTTTGGTCTGAGGCAAGGCACTGCTGTTACCTCATTATAAATCTATGGTACAGTGGCTGAGTAACTTGCCCAAAGTCACTGTGGTGAAGCAGGGACTTGAACCCCATTTTTCAAAACCACAGGACTATCCTTCTTTTCACATACCTAACTTGTCTTGTTGTTGAAGCAGATGAAGGACCTGGGTTCTGTTCCTTGCTCTCCCCCCACTGATGCATCATGTGGCAATGGATACAAAGCTCTTGTTCGTGTATAATAGAGTTAATACGTAGTTCACAGTGACATTGTGAAGTTTGACTATCCAAGAGCTTAGAGGTCCTCAGAGGAAAGGTGGTAGAGTGTAAAAGAAAATGATTTCCCTTAGAAATCAGAGTATATAAGTTCCTTCAAATCCTCCCATCCCATCCTTCAGCACTGATTGCTAAGACAAGTAATATGTGGGGCTGCTAACACTTTGTCTCTGACTCAGCACCTACTTGAGAGATCATGGTATGCAGTCACGGAAACTTGTTTGGCCTTCACTGTCTTCAGAGATGACTTCAGTCCCCGTTTTGTGGCCCTTTTCACCCTCCTTCTCTTCCTCAAGTGCTTCCACTGGCTCGCTGAGGATCGGGTGGACTTTGTAAGTGTGATATATTACTGAACAAGATGCCAGATTGGGGTTGACTGTTGTCTATCTGGGGAGTCATTCAATAATCTTGGTAATGAACAGGAACCTATCTAAGGCAGTGTTTCTCAATCTTTTTTTATAAAGTACCCCCTTAAAAGAAAAAAAAAAGGTACCCCTAGTACCTACAGTTTTCAGACACACCCATTGCAACGTATTTGTTTAAACAACTTAATCGTAGCCGGGTGGGCAATTAAATTTTTGAGTGTAAAAAGTACAAAAATAATAAAGCACTGTAAAACTTAAAACAAAAATTCAGTTTTCTCCAAATTTCAGTTGTTGACGTATCCCCACCTTCTCTCGAGTACCCCTAAGTGTACTCGTACCACTGGTTGAGAAACGCCGATCTAAGGTACTTCTGTGGCCTTCAGAGGGATGGAAATGCTTGTCACTGTGCCTGGATTGTCACACTGCATGATGTGTCCTGTGTGTAGAAAGCATGGGAAACAGACTCTTTTGTGTCCTCTGCTAGTCCTACATTCATTTTTTCTCATTAGTGCTTCTGTAAGCACTGGATGGTTGTACTCTTCTCATGTTTTATAAGATTCCTGAGATAGGGACCATTTTTTGTTCTGTTTGTACAGTGCCTAGTACAAGGGAGGGCCAGTTCATGACTGTGGAGCCTAAGTCCTAAAGTAACACAGATAGTAAAAACACTGACTCCATAGGAGCTAAAAGGGCTCAGTACTTCAGAGTGCTCATCTCTTTGGAGGATCAGCACAACACTGCGATGCCAGCAGAAAAGGAACCAGCAAGACACAGTGATACTTGTGGTGTAGATACTAAAATGGATAGAAAATAAGATTGTTCCTAAGTCAGTAACTCTGCAATTCCTGGGTATTTCATGCAGTGAGAGTGCAGAGAATGGAGTTTAGAAAAACTAGGCGGAGAACCCTAAAAGTTCATTCATTTCTTTCCAGATGGAGAGGAGTCCAAACATCTCCTGGCTCTTTCATTTCCGCATTGCCTGTAAGTTCCATTATTTTATCCCCTTTCCCTGTCTTTAGCCTGCAATACAGTGCAATTGCCATACTTTCTCAGATATGAGGCCCATCTAGGATAGTGTCCTACCTCTGAGAGAGCCCAACACCAGGTGTTTCAGAGGTATGAAAGAATCTACTTGCAAGGGAAGTCTTTAGCCATGTAGGGAGCAGGATTGGTTCACTATGTTAACATATGTGGCTTGTGGTGTGAGAGTAATTGCTTGAAATTCTCTTCCGGTCATATGTGGAATCTCATTTTCCCTGCCTAGTTTCTGGTTCTTGAGATCCTGTTTTGATAGGATCGAATAGGGTTCTCTTGTCCGAGATTCATGGATTTCGAAGGCACGCTTTGTCCCCATTTTCCCAAAACAGCTATACAATTCATCCTCGGCAATCTGTGTTGGGAGTTTAGGACTCAAATAGCAAGAGATGCAGCTGGTCAGGACTGAGAGTATTGGCAGATTTATCTGCTAGAGAGATTCCAAAGCAGGGTTGGTAAGGTTGGGGAGTGCAGCTGCAGGTCAGGATTGAGTAGCATTGGTAGAGTTGTGCATGTGGGTGGAGCTTAGTGCTGGAATAGCAAAAGAACTGCACCTCAGGATCCAGGGGCATCAGCAGAGTGCTGTAGACTCAGGGAGAACACAGGATTGGAATAGCAGACAGCTGTGGGTCATTGAGGGACTTTGACACAGTTGTGAGTTAGGAGCTCAGAAGTAGTATAAAAGGGAGCACAGAAAGTCAGCATTTAGAGGCAGTGACTGAACTGTGTGTTGGGAGAAAGTCCAGGACTAGACTAGCTGGGAGGGCTTTGGATTAGAACTGAAAGCTCAGAGAATGCAGGACTGGAGTAGCAGGGGATGCAGAAGTTCAGGGTTGTGGACACTGGCAGCAGTAAGGGAAGATCCAGTACGGGAATGTGGGGGCTGCAAGATGGGATTGAGGGGCACTGGCTGAGGTGTGCCTGTGGGAACAGGTCAGCTGTGGGTGAGAAGCTTGTTGTCCTCTAACTGTACTGGTAGGACAGGCTCCAGGCAAGACAGAGGTGGTTGACAAAAGGAAGGTGACAGCAGGGGGCTTGGGGAAGTGGGAGATAGTGGGCATTGGGGTGACAAGCTTGGCAAGGCAGACTTGTGTAATAATGAAAATGACTAAGTGTTACCCACGTAGAGAGAAGGGTTTGGAGAAATCATTAAAGTAACAAAGTTTAATGCAGGCATGACTTAGCTTGATTATGTGACACAAATCTCCTGGGGGGGGGGGAAGTTTCTGTACTCTGAATGTTTCTTCTCCAGGACTTGACAAGCAACAACAGCTGGCCAGGAAAGATAATTTCAGATAATAATTTGCATGTGAAGGCTAAATACGCTAATGTAAAACCCCTTCTCATTTGTGTAGCTGAGTGTGAGACTATTCAGAGTTACAAACTTTTTGACAAAGATATTAATGTCTTCCAGAAAGCTGTTTATGGCTTAGATTGCTTTGTTCACCTTTAGGTTGGAGCAGAACAGCTGTTTAACAGCTCACAGCAACTTAGTTGAGGACAGGACATCAGGGAGACTCCTGTAGCTAGTTGAAACTTCAGGAAGGAAGAATGAACCTATGCAACACACTGGGGTTAACAATGGGAAGCTGAGGTTTTCAGAAGACTCTAAGGGACCCATTGACATTTGTTTGTGCTATGTGCTGGAGTCAGCTCTTGGCTGAGACTGTCATAATATAAATATCAGTGTCTGACACATCTGAATGGCTTTCAACCCATGCAGTTAAATGTTCTGTGTATGGGAAACAGCAGTTCTGTAACTTGTACATGGCACTTGCTTAGTGCTTCCCAACCCTCTGTGAGAAGGGTGTTGGTACTGTTTTACAGATGAGGAAACTGAGACATGAAATGAGTTGCCCAATGTCACATGGTGAATCCGCGGAAAAGTTAAGAGCATAATCCAGGAATACTGGCTCTCAAACCTATACTCTGGCTACTAGATCACACTTCATTTCCAGGGATGGGACTAGATTGTGGGAGGCCTAGCTCCTAGTCTTATGCTTAAGTCATCCATTTCTTTAGTTCTGTCAAGCCTGCTTCATGTGGGCCTTAAATCACAGTTCAGTAATTTAATTTCTGTGTCTAACCTCCCTTCTTTCTGTGTCCAGCTCTGATGCTCTTGTTGGGCGTCCTGGATTTCCTATTTGTCAGCCATGCCTATCACAGCATCCTCACCCGGGGAGCCTCTGTCCAGCTGGTCTTTGGGTTTGAGGTATGGAATGGTTCTGCCTCTGTGGGAGGAATGGAGGGAGAAAGGAATATTTGCCTTGCTGACTGCAAATCAAAGCACTGTGATGCATTGTAAGACACTGGGGCTGACTAAGCAGCCAGCGCATCAGAGTTCTCTCGGTAACTTCTGGATTTTGGTCTCTCATCTTCGTGGTTGAGTTTTATTTCTTCAAAAATGGTAGATGCAAACAAAATGGTAATTTCTAAGTCCTTTTCCCTGCCCTGAGATTTCTGATGGAGACCATCTGCTCCATGCAGGTCTGGCTCCCCAAGCCCTCTGCCTTTAAGTTAAGGTGAGTCTTTACTGCCTTCTACGTAGGCTTTCCTTCAGCCTGCTTCCTGTAGGATTGCACTCCCAGGCTATTTGCCAGGGAGCTAAGGAGAGCCTCCCTACCTTCTTCTCTCCCTGAACTCAGACTGTCTTTTGGTGTCTCTGAGCTAGGAATGCATAGATACAGTTTCGTACTGTGTGACTTGGTCCCTTCACCTGGAGAGGTGGGCTGAGCTTGGCACAGGGTACAGATGAGTTCCAATGCCTTTAAAAGGTTAACTTGTCCTGTGACGTGTCTTTCTTTTTTTTTTTTTTCTTTCCTGCCACCTCAGTATGCCATCCTCATGACTATGGTGCTCACCATCTTCATAAAGTACATTCTACATTCAGTCGACCTGCAGAGTGAGAATCCATGGGACAACAAAGCTGTCTACATGCTGTACACTGAGCTCTTCACAGGTACATGTCTTCTCCACAGCTCTGGAAAATAGCTGGCCCCTTCCATAGCCCATTGGGGGCTTGTATGTTCTCCCATATCAACATCTAACAGCCTGTGGAGCCTGAATTGTGGTGCTATATGGGGCCTTCCTGGAAGCATGGTTGGGAGAGCTGGTTTGTATATGACCTCACCACTTCATCGATCCGTTGAAGGGAAGAAAGTGTGATTGAGTGTGAAAGTAGGAACTGTGTGAAAGTAGGAGCTGTGTAAGAGAAGCCTGTGGAGATCCAAAATGATTTAATGTATAGTTAACACTGAGAACAAGTCTACATTACAAAATTAAATTGACCTAAGTTACGTTGACGTGCAGCCACCACAGTGATTGATTCGGTTTTACGCATTCACACTATGCTTATTGTGTTGGTGGTGCATGTCCTTACACAGATTGAATGGGTATTGTGGGGGGGCACTGTAGGACTGTTTCTGAAAGGCAGCAACAGTCACTTGTAAGCAACATAGTGTTTACATTGGCACTAAAGTGATTTAATTAAGTTGACTTAAGTGTAATACCTTCCTTGGCGATTGTGTTATTAAGTTTGTTGAGTGAGCTGGTGGAAGCTACAGTTTAGACTAGACACTTATGGGGTTAGGTCAGGGCTGGGCAAGATGTGGCCCCAGGGTCGGATCCAGCCCACCTAACACTTCGATCTGGCCCCCAGACTGCATCTGGCCATTTCTATTTACATCCTGCTGCCCGTGCCACCAAATTTCCACGCGGTGGATCAGGCAGCAGGATCCTATTTAAATGGCTCCCGACTCATGGTCACAATGCTACCCTGGCAGGGTCTGGAGCTACAAGCCTTTTAAATAGCTGCAGCAACTTTAAGCAGTTCTCCAGCAACGCAGTAGCGGCAAGGAGGGGAACCATGAGCCCTTACTGTGTTTCTAACTCAAAGCCTCCAGCCCCAGACAACTCTGGGGGATGGCTAGTCCCCAGTCCTGCCCCTTCTGCCCAGACTCTGCCCCTTCTGGGGGTGTGGAGCTGGCCCATGACCATGTTGCAAAATTTATTAAGTGGCCCCCCTGCAAAAATTATTATAACCATTATTGGTTATTATTATAACCATCCCGGGTTAGGTTGACATAAGCTGCCTTATGCCGATCTAACTCTGTAGTGTAGACTAGGCCTAAAATGCTGATGGTTTGGCTCACTAAGAGTAGAATAAAAAAGCAGGTTGGGTGGATTTCTGGAGGCTGCAGTGGGTTAGTTTATGCAGGCGTTGTGGTCTGGTGGGTAGAGCAAGGAGGATGGGGAGTCAAGATCCCTGGGTTTTATCCTTAGCTTCGGGAGGGGAGTGTGGTCCAGTGGCTAGAGCAGGGAAGAACTGGGAGCCAAAACTCCAAGTTCTGTTTTTAGCTCTGGAGGGAGTGTGATTGAGCTACTAGAGCCTCCTGGGTCTCCTCTTAGCTGGATCACTGACTCACTGTGTGACATGGGAGAGCAAGTTACTTCTCTTCTGTGCCCCTTTCCCCACTTGTAAAATCAAGTCTTGTCCCTTCCTCCCAGGTTGGCTATGGGAGTTCACTTGTATTTAAGGGCAATGATATCCTCCTAGCAGAGGCACATGAGAGAGCGCACTAATCTTTCTCCTTCCTCCTCAGGCTTCATTAAAGTGCTGCTGTACATGGCGTTCATGACCATCATGATCAAAGTACACACGTTCCCTCTGTTTGCCATCAGACCCATGTATCTGGCCATGAGGTAAGATATCTCTGGGGTATCAAGCGAGCGCATGCTGAGTGTCTGATACTATTTGTGTGTGTCAGTGTCACTCCAGCAACTTGTGTGTCATTTCAGGCAGTTCAAGAGAGCTGTGACTGATGCCATCATGTCACGCCGTGCCATTCGCAATATGAACACTCTGTAAGTATCCAGCTGAGACTTCTTGAGGCTGCAGGGGCATTGTACAAATTGAGATTGGGGTGGGGAGGAGCCCACTGGGCCATGTACTACACAGACACAGAGGGAGATGGCACTTGTCCCAAAGAGTTTACATTTGAAAGAGGCAAGGGTGGGGGAGCAGGAAATGGACACAGAGAATAGAAGGAACGTGCTCAAGGTCAATTGCAGAGCTGGGGATACAATCCAGATTTCCTGACTCGCAGTTCAGTCCTCCGTCAACAAGGCTACACAACCATGTTTGCACTGAATCTCCCTGGACCTTTTAAGTTTCATGAATAGAGGGGAAATCTGTATTAGAGCAGTCTGTCTTAGGATACTCAGTTCAGTTCATAGCTTGTTAGAGGCCCAGTAGATCCCAGCTAATCCAGCATAACCCCTCAATCCTGTCCCATCCAGTTTGGAATGCCATGGGCAACGTTGGCTTCCCTTGGGAGTAGGTGGACTGTTTCATATAGCTCTCCCTGCTATCCAGCCTAAATTTCCCTTTGCTTAATTATCTTCTGTTATAGCCCCCTGCTCCTTTGTTGGCATCTCTGCCCTTGTAGATCTTCACAGAATATATAAGTTACTGCCTCCTAAAACTCTGCTGCCTCCCCAGATACCCCGATGCCACTCCAGAAGAGCTTCAGGCCATGGATAATGTGTGTATTATCTGTCGGGAAGAGATGGTGACAGGTGCTAAACGCCTGCCGTGCAACCACATATTCCACACCAGGTGAGGAAAGACTTACTGCTAATTCTTCTGCCCACACAGCAGCTTCCAGATTTCTTTCTATGAAGTATGGAGTTAGCTGCTGAAGGCATGAAAATACAAACCCCATGCTTGTGTAACTGAGAAGCTAGGGCATGGTAATTTCCTCCTTGCTCTGGTGCACATGGAACTAGGGAAGAACCAAACGACTAAAAAGGATTTGTAAAGGAATTCAGTCCTCTCGGCTATAGATCACTGGTTCCAATCCATCTTTTCTCAACTGGGATGTCTGGTCATTGCTGTCTAAAGACCTGGGAGTTGATGGCTCCAAATTAGATTCCTAGCGAACAGGTCCATGTAACAAACATCCTGTGAACTGAACTCTTTGGCTATCTTTGTCAAGATGTCATGGATTGAATGAGCTACACAGGCTGACCCCTCTTTTCCAGCTAATTGTTGGTGGGTGTCTCCAGCTAATTATTACCTGTTTAACAAGCCAATATTAACCAGCCTTTTCCCCCTCCACAGCTGCCTGCGTTCGTGGTTCCAGCGGCAACAAACCTGCCCCACTTGCCGCATGGATGTCCTCCGTGCTTCCCTTCCCGCTCAGTCCCAGACGCCGCCCGAGCAGCAAGAGCAGGCACAGCAGCAGCCCCAACCACACCAAACTCCCCTGATTCCCCAGCCACCTAACTGTAAGTACAGCTTCTCTGGACACCAAGCCAGCAGGGCTGAGCTGTTTCTCAGTAGTCCTGTCTGGTGCCATTCATCCCTGATGGGGATCACTACACCCAGCACAGACACTTAGCCACCTCTGGGATGAGGTGCAGCAGCTGGTGATCCTGGCACTGCTTGCCCTGCACTGAAAAATGGAAATTTATTACCATGTTGTACTAATACTTAATGTGCTTTGTTGGGGTCAAATTCTGCCTTTAGTTGTATGGCACAACCTCATTACAATGAGTTGGGCCATAAGGGACATAACCCAAGAAATTTGTAGAGCCCTCCACATCCACATCTGTATCAGCAAAAATGAGCTGTGGATGCCCATGGATATAAAGCGGATATCTGTACATCTGCAGGGCTCTAGACATTTGGCCCTTGAGCTGCTGTGGCATTAGAAAATAAGAGTTATGTGTAATTGAAAGAAATTGTGTAATCCTTGAAGCAACAGAACTCCTGGCTTCTGTCCCTGCTTCTGGAGGGGGAATATGAGCCAGTGGTTGGAGCTGGGTGTGGGGGTGCTGAGGAAAAAGACTCAACTCTGCCACTCTCTTTGTGTGACTGCCACTCTACCTAAATGTGCCTCTGTAAAACGGGTAGTACACTGACCTACTTCCCTTGAGGCTTTGTTCATGTCACAAGTGGCTGGAAGGTGCTGGAGAAATGTAGTGGCTATCTAATATCTTTTCTCCATGGATGACCCCCTTCTCTCCTTGCTCCACAGTCCCCCAAGGAATCCTGCCCCCATTTCCTCCTGGGATGTTTCCTCTCTGGCCTCCCATAGGCCCATTTCCTCCAGTGCCTGGTGTCCAGCCACCCAACAATGCTGAGAATCCTTCTGCTGCTTCCAGTGCACCTTCCACTTCGGGCAGTCAGACAACAGGTGAGAGTCCAGTCTCACCTTATCCTTCATTCCATCACTGGGGCAGACCTCCCTCTCGATGCTCCGCCTGATTTGCTTCTGGTCCTTCATGGCCCAATTGCTTCTAGACCTGTAAGTTGAGACTGTTCAAACCACTGGAGTAACTGGCTTCCTTGCTGGCAATGACTTGCAAGCAAGCCACAGAGGTGCCACAAGATGAAAACAGTTTTGACATTTGATCTGTGGTTGGTGCCCTAAGGGGAAAAGATCCTATATGCCATTCCTTGACCTTTTGAGCCAGCCAATCTTTCCAATCTGGGGCAGGATTGGACTTTTGCCCCTGAGTTTGGAAAGGCCCTGTATCCAATTCTCTGACCCAGCCAGTCCCCTTAGATGAGGGACTGGATCTGAGCTAGTACTTCAGAGAAAGAAAAGATCAGTATTTCATTCCCTGCTCCTCTGAGATAGCTAATCTCCATCCCTGGAATGCCTAGAGATGAAATGTCCATATTCCCTTACTTTCTTGATGTTATTTTAGAGTGTGGGATTAACTAACCCTGACCCTACAAGGGTATGTATGTTTGAAAACATACTGAAACCTCATTGGCTATGTCTAAATCAGATAGATGGGCATAAATGTACCATGACTGTTTAACCAAGCTATTGTCTCTTCTTTGTCCACTTCACTCATTGCAGCAAATACCTCGAGACCTGGTGGTGATTCAGCCTCTGGAGCGGATACGGCCCCTGTAGGAACAGTGCCTGGCTTTCCCTTCCCTCCCCCATGGATGGGAATGCCATTGCCACCTTTATTTGGTAAGCTAGGGTGGCTTCTTCCATCTAGGGCTGGATGGAGGAAGGAAGTTTCCCTACTGGGAGCATGGGGAGGGAAAAGAAAATATCCAAACTTTGTCTCTAAAAGCCACATAAGCCACTATGCTCCTGACAAGTTGCTAATGTTGTCTTCAGTAAATTGATAGATTTTACCAGAAATGAAAACCTTGCCTATTGGAGGGGTAACCAAGAAGCTTGCCTTGAGTCCTTTCTGACAGATCTGTTTTTCTTCTGAAAAGGTTTCCCTCCTATGCCTGTGCCACCTGCTGGATTTGCTGGGTTGACAGATGAAGAGCTGCGTGCCATGGAAGGCCATGAGCGGCAGCACCTTGAAGCCAGGCTCCAGTGTCTGCAGAACATTCACACACTCCTAGATGCAGCCATGTTGCAGATAAACCAGTATCTCACCATTTTGGCGACTATTGGGTAACTATCCAGCATTGGGGTAGGGTGTGGGATCTTATACTCTGTTGGATACATGGTGCAACCACTGACTTGACTATAATCCATCCAGCTCTGTGTTGTAGCCATATAACATAGTAAAAGCACATTGCAATGCCATGTGATTTCCAGCTGTTGGTTCCCTGTCCTCACAGTGGTAAAAATGGGTGGTCTTCATTGGTGGTAACAGGTGTCCAAAACTTGTACCACTAATGTGTGCAGCCTACAAGATAAAGTGCTGGACTTGAACTCGGGAGATCGTATTCTATTCCCAACTCTGCCACTGGCCTTGAGTTTCTCCATCTTTAAGATGAGAATAATTACAGTGACCATCTTTGAAATTTGCTAATGAAAAGTGCCATGTACAATCTAGAGATTATGTTCTAATGTAAACCCATGATGTAGGTCAGTATGGTGTAAATGTGGGGTGTGGAGCAGAAAGGTGGGTGGCTGTTGCCACAGATAAACTCCTGCTCTGAGAAGCTCAGTTCCTGGCAATATCTCCTTTTCATAGCACTGAGTAGATATTTTAAGATTGGCATGCTTGTATGGTAAATTAGCAGTGAGGTGTGGAAACACCCATATTTCTATCCTTGGGCCAGGAGTAAGCCTGCATTGCAAAATTAGGAAGATAGTTGCACTTGAATTAAGGCCAAGGTTCTGCCACCATCCCTGTGAAAGGAAACGTGAGCTAAGAAAACAGAGTTTGGAAGCCAGAAGTGGGAACTTGTGGCTAAAGCATTGTAATGGGATAAACAGGCTGACCTGCAGACATCCTGTGTGAGTTGGAGCACCGATCTCTCTTTGCCTTAGCTTTTCTGTGTATAAAGGGAAGGACAGCAATTCTTTGTGTGTCTCGTTCACTTAGATTGTAAGTGTTTTGGGGCAGGAGCACTCTTTAAGACACAAGATTCAAGTAGGACTTAATATTGAAAGTTATGACAACAAATTTTGGAAGGGATATTGAACTTCCTATTCATTGCTTAAGCTAATTTTAACTACAGGAGGTCAATGTGGGATCTGTCAAGAAAGAAACCCTTATAAGGGATCTGTCGAAAAAGGCTTTCTTTCTTGACAGATCCCCCTCTAGACTGACACTTTTTGCCAACAGTGCTGAGTTAGCAAAATGCGGTGGGCATTTTTATGCAAATTAGGCACGGGATATTTAAATCTCTGCCTCATTTGCTATGTCGACCTGCCTAATCTGCATCCCTCTGTCGGCAGAGGGATGCAGTCTAGACATACCCTGTGAGAGGTGCAGATTACCCGATATCTGCCTACTGTCAGGTTCTTACACCTGTTTCTGAAGCACTTAGTCCTGACTATTGTTAGAGACAAGATTCTGGACTAGATAGACCGGGGTGGGTAATAAGTGGCCTGTGGGCTGGACACAGTTCACCAGGTTTTGCTGCTGGCGGGCCACTGGATGCTTTATTTACTTGAGTGTCCACAGGTACAGGCACTTGTAGCTCCCATTGGCTATGGTTCGCTGTTCCCAGCCAATGGGAGCTGCAGGAAGTGGTGCATGTTAGGCCACCTCTTCCTGTAGCTCCACTGACCGGGAACAGTAAAGCATGGCCAACAGAAGTTGTAAGGGCCATATCTCTGGATGCTCAGGTAAATAAACGGCTTGCCATCTACAAACCCTGGCAAATTGCATCTGGCCTGTGGGCTGCTTATTGTTCACCCCTGAGATAGACCAATGGTCTGACCCAGTCTGACAATTCTCTTGTAAAGTGCAGCTGTGACCCTTACCGCCTGTGGAGCCTTGAGGTGATAGCATACTACAAAGAATTAATCGTGGTCCTTTTATAGCTCTTCACATTGTAACACTCTTGTGGTTCCCTATCTGGACAGATCACCCCGTCCTACACAGCTGCCAACTACCCTAAACACTTCGACCTCCTCTCAAGAGACACCCACCAGTGAATCCACCACTTTCAATTCACCCAGCAGTACCTCTTCCCCGGGGACATCTGCAACAATGGAACCAGACTCGACAGGTCAAACAGGTAGACAGAAGTCCTCCTTGTAGGACCTTGTAGTGTGAAGCCTTACACTGTTGCTGTTTAGCTACAGGGTCTAGGAACAAGACCTAATCCATTCCCTAGGGAACCTAACAGATTGGCATGCTTGGCCAAAAGTTGTTGCAACAGGCATTAGCAGCTAATGGCAGGGGCCTACACCATGTTCATCCTAGGTGCAAGACGTTTACTATCTGTGCAGGATACAACTGCCTACAGGAGAGGCAGCATCTGTTATGCTGGTGTGTGTCCCAGCTGGGGGTTTGCTGCTGAACGAGACATGCCACGTGGCTGACGCTTTAAGTGCTAATAGGCACATTTGGCTTCCCTGAAGTAGTGGTTCTAAATCTCTTTGAAGCATGTGGAAGCAAAGGAATCTGGTGGATGTCAACCTGAACTGATTTCTTCTCTGCTTGCTGTCTCAGATCTATCTGGATTGGTGGGTGCAGAGGGATACACAGCGCCAGCTGGACATGAGGAAGAAGAGGAGCAGCAGCCTTTACCAGAGGAGCCTGACACAGCAGAGCTTCGCAGGCGCCGGCTTCAGAAACTGGAATCTTCTTCTCCCCCTTCCCATTGACACCCCTCCCACCCCTCTTTCCTAGGTACCTTGTCTTGCCTGGGTTACTGTTTGACACTGACTCTTCCTTTTGAAAAGCAGCGTGTGTGGTGGTGGTTGGGGATGCAACAAGAGAACAGAGTGATGGCAGTCTCGTTTAGGACACTGTAAACTGCATCAAGTGCTGACTTGACATGAGAGTGCTAAGGCCGCTATGCTGGGGCTTAGAATTGACTCTTTAATCTGCCATGGTTTCTCATTTAAAAACAAAAAAAACCCACCACCTAGTCTGCAACTGTCCTCTCTCTGGGCAGATTCAGTCATACCCACCTGTGCACTATCTGTTCTAATCCCAGAGCCTACTCAGCAGCATTCCCTGGAAAGCAGGGTCCTACAAAATATGATGCACAGGGCTGAGGTGATCAGACTCCCAGGGACTTCTGTGGTGTATCACTTCACAACAGTGGGCATATCTGTTGTTTAGGAAGTTGGCCTTCCTCGTCCCATCTACCTAACAGGAGTTGAATGGCGACTTCTCAAAGTAGTTTTCTCCTGCTTTAATCCAGTTCTTTCTACCTCTGACATTCATGTGACTGCTGGACTCCATCCTCAAGCAGTGTCTTCTGGGCTCACCTTAACAATGTTAATGTCTAACTGGGGTAAGTCCAAAAGAAACATGCTCCCATCAGGAAAGGGGAAAGGAGGTGTATTTCCTTAAACTACCCATGGGAGGACACCTGTTAGTGAACATAGTCTCGGCTTTTATACATAGGAACAATGTATGTAGGCGACTCAGCTCAAGGTGAGGAGTTTGTGAACCACGTTCATCCTCTGACAATACTCAGCCAGAACTTGGAAGCCTAAGGACTGCAGGATCCAGACCCTAGGTATTGCTGGTAGACATTACTAGTTTGGATAAGTTTGTGTTGGGGTAAAGTTACAAGTTCAACCATTGCTTCTGCTTTACATATTTTTTTTGAATTTATTTTTGTTGAGTGGGGAGCACTGAATGGCGCAGGCTTGAGGCCTATGGGATGCTGTGAGATAGTTGTTAGATTATTTTACAGTTGATTTTAACTTTTTCATCTCTAGTGTGGGTAGAAATCAACATTCAGAATCATCTGAGGAGGCCAATAGGAGTTCTTGCAATTTAGAATATATCTTAGTGCAAGTGGCTTCAGTATTGATCACAAACTGTGATGCTCAAAGAGTTTTATCCAAATGGCACTGGGATGATTGTAACCATGCAATTGAAACTCCCCCTAGGTTACACTGCTTAGATACTCATCCCAGAAAGAACATTATCTGCTGAATGTAGAATGGAGTCTGCTAGACCTCTGAAACTAGAGTATTGATTTGCTTGAGTGTAGCAATGAATCTGTGCTGATGGCATAGATAGCAAAGAACTTAGAAGATATAGTTAATATTCCTCCTTTCTCTGTGCCTCATCACTAGAGAAGCACTTGTCATGTTTCCAACACTGAAGGATGGAGAAGCTGCAGTAACCACGGCTACTCAATCACCCTCCTGGCCTTTGATATCTCTAATGTTACAGCTTTCACACACTTTGCTCATCATAGTGACACTTTAATTTCTAAGGAGCTGAGAGATGAAATGCCTCTTCACTGCCAGTCTTACTTGGAAGAGAATGGGCCAGCCTCTTCCTTTGTGATTCTACTTAAATCCATGCTTTTATGCAAGAGATGAAAGTGACTTATTGACCAGGTTCATATTATTCTATCTGTATACAGGCTATGATCCCATAGCCATTTTCTGTGAATTGTTCCCATGGATCTTGTATTTCTCCTGGCACCATGGTCAGGTTCTTTAAGAGCTGCTTTCAAGATACAAAACAGTCACCTCTGCTTTTTTTCCCCCCCAATAGTAGTGCCCTAACAACTTCAGAAGGGCTTTTTAAGGGTTTACTGAGCTCATGTTGATTGACAGTATTAGTGGTGGAACTCCTAAAGGAAAATACCTTTGCTTTGGAAAAACAAGTAAAAATGTCCCATTAGCAGTGAGATCCTGCTCATCCAGTCTGTTTTACGACCCAGACTCCGTCTTAAAGGATGTTAGGCTAATTAGTATAAAAACATATGCCTTTATGGGTTTGTGACTTGTAACACCTTGACATATGTTAGATTTTAGCAATGTCTCCACATTCCATCCAGCCTAGTTCTCTCCCCAGATACTTGCTTACACGCCAACACACCTTAAAAGACTTAACACCAAACTCTAAACTTTCTGGATTGACATAAGCAAACAGTTAGAGTTGTCATTGGTTATGGACATTGAGTTTGTTCAGTCTGCTAGCAAGTAGTTGGAAGAGACATTTTGGCTACCGTGGCCACTGTGATAGGCTACTTCTGTCCCTTTTTGAGTGAGCCTATATAATTTAAAAAAACAGGAACAGTAGTTTAAGACACAGATGGGGACATTCACATCCTCAAATATTGTTTCAAAAATGTAATTTGAGAAGACTAATCTGGCTTGAATAATTGTTTGACACATCTCCTGTGTGTAAGTCATGACAAGGAGAACACTTCTGTGACTTAGGAGCATCAATCCTGTTAACTTTCAGTGGGACTGGTGGTCCTAAAGTGATTTGAAAATCCCTCCAGTATAGTTATGTGAACTCACATCCTAATGCATATATTATACAGTATACAAACCCCTGTATCTAAAAGGATATCAGTTTAATGGGGAAGTAAACCATAGGCTGGATTTAGATAGGAGAGAGGTAATGATGGATAAGGTAAGCATTTTTGGTTTAGGGAAGATGCTCTTCAACAAGCAGTAGATGTTGTTACAGAACCAGCATTGAATGAGTCATAAAATTCCTCCCCTCCCCCAAGAAACCCCCAAAATTGTGTGTGTGGTAACCCTAAACCTTTTGTTTGCTATTCAGTCTTTTTTGATTCAGCAATTGGTATAACCCTTCAGTGCTTCTCTTAAAGTGGCTTCTAATCATACCTATCTCAGGGAAACAATCCAGAGGCAGCACTTAAGGGTTGGAAATTAGTTTAATATTTGAGTTCCTTCTGGAGAAGGGCAAAAGTAGTTAAAGATTTATATTTTTAAAACGTAGTGTTTTTGAGGCATATCAGAATTACAGTACTGGCTTGGACTGGAGTCCGAGTCACTGAAAACTAGAACTGAGCATTAAGGATAGGAATGGGTGACTGTGACAAAGGATGGTGATATCTTGCAGACAGCTAGAATCCTGGTGCTCTGGTAGGGAGAGAATGTCAAAAGGCAACCAGGCTGTGCATCACTTTGAAACAAGACAATGGGCTAAATGTGCATTTGGTGTAATAACTATGCATTCTTTATATCCAAATCTTAAGAAAGAAAATCTTAGTTTTAAGGAAAACGTCCTCCCCTCCAAAAATAGCTTCTGTATAATACATACAGAAATGCAGAGTCATCTGTGAGTGTGGATTGAAAACTTCCTTTTCTCTGGTCATGGAACATTGAGGTAATGAGAGACTGCATTTTTTTCTTAGAGGGCTGCATACTTGGAACATGTGCATTTTCTTTGCTGAGCAGTCTCTCTTCATTCTGTAAAGGGACAATAAGATCAGTCCTCTCAGAATTTGACATGTGTTCCTCATATATCCTCTTTGATTCCAAGCTTAATATATGCTGAGGGTCTCCTCCTTTCTTTTCCTCCCATGCTCCCAAAATAACTTGTTTGGCTCCTTATTAGAAATAACAATGGTAATATCAGGAACTCTGCAATAACAAGCCAGCCTGCATAAATAACTTTATTTCAGTATTGGATGTGCAGAAGAGGCAAAAGCTTGATCTCATTCTTCCAGGGGTTGTGATTAGTTTTTTTTAAAAAAATACTGTATGCCATATGTCCGGTTGAAAAATTAAATTGAGTTTAAAAATGGGAATAGTTTAGGGAAGTGTCCATATTTTGTTTGCAATTTCAAGAAAATGACAATTTAGGAGAGGATGTGCTAAAGTGTGCCACACATTCCATGATATTTGAATTAAGAGTTTATTTGTATACTAAATGAAGAGAGATACAAATGAGAGAGAGCATAAGGAAATGTTCATGGCCTGTGTTCATCCGAATGGCTTCCTTTTAACTTCTCTTTCATTGTTTTTGTGTTGCAGAGATGTATGTTGGAGGTGAAGAGGGTTTGGATAATTATTTAATTTGTAAATATTGTGTACATTTTTAATAGCTTAAATTGTATATACAGCAAAATAAAACTTACTTTAAAAATGGTGTTGTAGTGCTTTGATAGTTTTTGGAGGGAAAATGTTAGGCAGCCTTGCCTACACATGGTGCTCTAGCTCTTCCTATAGTAAGTAAGCACTCCTACTATTTGCTTCCTATTAGCAACTAAAGATGATTTAATGCTGATAGCAGGCATGAAAATGGCAGGTTGCTGGATTTTCCTACATGGTTCTGCCTTTACTTAGGGGAAACGAGGGAGGAGGCCAATACCAAGCTATAACAGTGTATAGGTCTGGAAAATAAGTTACCACCAGGTATGTCCTAGAGCAGGGCTACTTAACTGTGGAAGCCCCAGGGCCCACAATGATACTCACAGCACATGCCAAGGGCTGGTATTTAAGTGTTGTTGCATATATATGCAAATAGCTTTTCACACTGATGGGCATGAATACAAAGATTAAGGCAAGACTACACACAGGCCCCATTTAAGTCAGTTCTGCTGATATTAATAAAATGTAATTTTTAACTGATTTCCACCCATGACAGCACTTGTAATGAGCAATGACAGTCCAGGAATTTAACTACTAAAATGCATATCAACAGAAGACCATTATCGTGACTACTACTTTGTTTTTGCTCCCACCCAGAGGCCATGTTGAGCCCTGCGTAAACCCAAACCGCACTGCAAACAAGCAGCCTACATATTGAGTAATCCTGTCCTAGAGTAACATAAGGCTTAATGTTGCAAATACAAAGTGTAACACTGATCAATATAAATATGCCAAGCTCCTCCCTTTGTTTCTAATTCACAAACACATCGGAGGCAGATGAAGGAATCTCTTGGACTCTCCCTAACCTGTTTTTCACCAAGTCTCCTATCCTCCTTCAGACTACCCAGTAGCGAGGGAAACCACAGGCCTCCTGCTTATCCACTCTAGACCTCCTTTATCCTGGCCTCTATGGTTCCCCTTTTGGGTTTTTTTGCTATAGTGGGTGCCATGGGACTCTGACCCTCGATCTTTCTCCCCTCCCTCCTCTATACAGAGGCTCCAGGCTCTGCTAATCTGAAAAGCCTCTTGTCGCTCTAGCTTCTCTTCTACCAACTCTCTATGGTTCCGCCGCATAGCACAGAGCCCTAGAAGTGTCAGCCAACAGCTCTATGCCCAGTGGGAGTCCAGAATGGGTCATGGGGCCGCTCTAGCCTCTTTCCCGCCACACACTCTGGCTTCCTGTACTACGCCAACCTCATCCGGGTCCTTCTGACCAACGTAGGCGCATGCGCACTGCTGGTTCAGTCCGTGGCGCCGTCAATCGTACTAGCTTCTGGAGAAGATGGCGGCTGAAGGGTTGGAAGCGCCGGGGAGCCCACGCTGTGGCGAAGCCGGCACCGAGAAAGCCCCCGGTGGGGGAAGCGAGGGTGGGGAGACCGGCCTGGACGTGGGCGGTGAGAGCGGGAAAGGGGGGCTGGACGGGTCAGTCGGGCCGGGAGAAGCCCGCGCCAGGCTGCTCCGGAAGGTGGTGAGGGGGGAGGGTTCCCGTACATGGCGATGCCGCGCTGGGAGGAATGACCCGGCTGCGGGTCCTCGCGGCGCGCTGGGAGCCCTGGACGAGAGATGGTCCCCGAGGGTGGGGGCCGGGAAGAGGGAGCCCTTCGGGCAGAGCGAGAGTCCTCTGCGGGTGGCGGAATCGGAAGGCGAGGAGTCCGGCTGGGGGCGGTTCCCCTTGGGCCGGCGGTGGAGGGGCGTCTGTGGGGACGTGCTTCTGGAGGAGAGATTCTTCGGGGATTCCCCTGGGAAGGTACTTACGGCTGAGGACCTTGGGAGAGAGGGGCCTGCCGGAGCTGTGAAAGGGGCCCGTGGTGTTGCTGGTGGAGGGGATAAGGTGAGGGGTGAGGTATTTCCTGGGCTGCGAAGGGCACACCAAAATGGATCCCTGTATCGGAATGATCCCTGATGTGTATGGTCTTCTCTGAGGAGTGGAAGGTTTGGTAGTCAGGCTCTGGACACTTACCCAAGAACATAAGAACAACCTTACTGGGTCAGACCAATGGTCCATCCAGCCTAGTATCCTGTCTGCTGACAGTGGCCAACACCTGATGCCCCAGAGTGAAGGGACACAATAGGTAATTCTCAAGTGATCCCTCCCGTCACCCACCTCCAGAGAAACAGAGGCTAAGGACACTATTCCTACTCATCCTGGCTAATAGCCCTTGATGAACCTAACCTCCGTGAATCTATCTGGCTCTTATTTGAGCCCTGTTAAAGTCTGAGCCTTCACCATATCCTCTGGCAAGGAATTCCACAGATTGTGTGCTGAGTGAAGAAAAACTTCTTTCTGTTTGTTTTAAACCTACTGCCTATTAATTTAATTTGGTGACCTTAGTTCTTATATTTTGGGAACTTTTCCTTAGTCACTTTTTCCACACCAGTCATGTGGACTGAAAAGTCCAAGTCTTTTTAATCTTTCTTCATATGGGACCTGTTCCAAACCCCTAATCATTTTTGTTGTCCTTTTCTGAACCTTTACCAATGCCAATGTATATTTTTTAAGATGAGGTGACCACATCTGTACACAATATTCAAGATGTGGTCATACTATGGTATTATATAGAGAGGCAATAAGATATTTTCTATCTTATTCTCTAGCCCTTTTTTAACTCCTAACATTCTATTTGCTTTTTTGATTATTGCTGCACACTTAGTGGATGTTTTCAGAGAACTATCCACAATGACTCCAAGATCTCTCTCTTGAGTTGTTGTAGCTACGTTAGTCCCCATTATATTGTACATATAGTTGGGATAATTTTTTCCAATGTGCATTACTTTACATTTATCAACATTACATTTCATTTGCTGTTTTGTTGCCCAGTCACTTAGTTTGTTGAGATCTTTTTGAAGGTCTTCACAGTCTGCTTTGGTCTTAACTATCTCGAGCAGATTCCTCACTGTTTACCCCTTTCTCTAGATCATTTATAAATAACTTGAATAGGATGGGTCCCAGGACAGACCTTTGGGGGACCCCACTAGTTACCTCTCTCTGCTCGGAAAACTTACCGTTTATTCTACCCTTTGTTTCCTGTCTTTTAACCAGTTATCAGTCTGTGAAAGGAACTTCCCTCTTATCCCATGACAACTTACTTTACTTAAGAGCCTTTGGTGAGGGACCTTGTCAAAGGCTTTCTGGAAATCCAAGTATACTATATCCACTGGATCCCCCTTGTCCACATATTTGTTGAGCCCCTTAAAAAACTCTAGCAAATTAGTAATGCATGATTTCCCTTTACAGAAACCATGTTGACTTTCCCCCAACAAATTATATTTATCCATGGGTCTGACAATTTTATTCTTTACTGTGGTTTCAACTAATTTGCCTGGTACTGACGTTTGACTTACTGGTCTGTAATTGCCAGGATCACCTCTAGAGCCCTTTTTAAATATTGTTGTCACATTAGCTATCTTCTAATCATTAGGTACGGAAGCTGATTTAAAGGATAGGTTACACACCACAGTTAATAGTTCAGCAATTTCTCATTTCAGTTCTTTTAGAACTCTTGGGTGAATGCCATCTGGTCTCGATGACTTGTTACTGTTAAGTTTATCAATTTGTTCCACAGCCTTCTCTAATGACACCTAAATTTGGAACAATTTCTCAGATTTGTCACCTAAAAAGAATCTCCCCAATATCCTCAGCAGTGAAATTAAACAAAAAATTCATTTGGCTTATCCGCAATTACTTTATTATCTTTGAGTGCTCCTTTAGCATCTCAACCATCCAAGGGCCCCACTGGTTGTTTCTGATGTACAGGCAGTCCCTGGGTTACATACAAGATAGAGACTGTAGGTTTATACTTAAGTCGAATTTGTACTTAACTCGGAACTGGCGTCCAGATTCAGCCGCTGCTGAAACTGACCAGCGGCTGACTACAGGAAACCCGAGGCAGAGTTTCTCTGCCCCAGGCTTCCTGGAATCAGCTGCTGATCAGTTTCAACAGCAGCTGAATCTGGACACCTGAGACAGAGCAGCTGGGGCGCTGCCAGGTAGGTCTCCGCAGGCTTTGCTGTCCCTCAGCGAGGTAGGCAAGCAAGCAGGGAAACCTGAGAACCAGCTGTCCAGGTGGGTCCCTATAAGCACAGGCCTCAGATAGCCTCAGGCAGCAGCCACACAAAGTAACTCCTAACCTGATGCCCTGCCAGAAGTGGTTTCAGCTGCCCTTCAATGCAATTCAGCGTCCAATCAGTGTGGACGTGCTATTTCAAAATAGCAAAACGCTATTTCAAAATGCATTTTGTGTGTAGACACATTATTTTGAAATATCTTATTTCGAATAAACTATTTCAAAATTAGATATTTAGAAATAATGCAGTAGTGTAGACATACCCTCTGTTTGTTTTAAACCTACTGCCTATTAATTTTATTTGGTGACCCCTAGTCCTTATATTGTAGGAATATGTAAATAACTTTTCCTTATTCACTTTTTCCATACCAGTCATGGTTTTATAGACCTCTATCAAATCCCCCCTTAGTCTCCTCTTCTCTAAGCTGAAAAATCCAAGTCTTTTAAATCTTTCTTCATATGGGACCCGTTCCAAACCCCTAATAATTTTTGTTGCACTTTTCTGAACCTTTTCCAATGCCAAGATATCTTTTTTGAGATGAGCTGACCACATCTGCATGCAGTATTCAAGATGTGAGCGTACCATGGTTTTATATAGAGGCAATAAGATATTTTCTATCTTATTATATATCCCTTTTTAAATAATTCCTAACATTCTATTTGCTTTTGTGACTGCTGCTGCACACTGAGTGGATGTTTTAAGAGAACTATCAACAATGATTCCAAGATCTCTCTCTTGAGTAGCTGTAGCTAAATTAGTCCCCATCATATTGTATGTATAGTTGGGATTATTTTTTCCAAAGTGCATTACTTTACATCTATCAACATTATATTTCATTTGCCATTTTGTTACCCAATCAATCAGTTAGGGGAGATCTTTTTAAAACTCTTCACAGTCTGCTTTGGTCTTAACTATCTTGAGCAGTTTGGTATCATCTGCAAATTTTGTCAGCTCTCTGTTTACCCCTTTTTCAAAATCATTTATAAATAATTTGAATAGGATTGGTCCCAGGACAGACACATGGGGGACCCCATTAGTTACCTTTCTCCACTCGGAAAACTTATCATTTATTCCTACCCTTTGTTTCCTGTCTTTTAACCAGTTATCAATCCAAGAAAGGACCTTCCCTCTTATCCCATGATAACTTACTTTGCTTAAGAGCCTTTGGTGAGGGACCTTGTCAAAGGCTTTCTGGAAATCTAAGTACATTATATCCACTGGATCCCCCTTGTCCACATGTTTGTTGACCCTCTCAAAGAACTCTAGAGGATTAGTAAGGCATAATTTCCCTTTACAGAAACCATATTAACTTTCCCCCAACAAATTATGTTCATCTATGTGTCTGACAATTTTATTCTTTACTATTGTTTCAACTAATTTGCCTGGTACTGACATTAGACTCACCAGTCTGTAATTGACAGGATCACCTCTAGAGCCCTTTTAAAATATTGGTGTCTCATTAGCTACCTCCCAGTCATTAAGTACAGAAGCTGATTAAATGCCAGGTCACAAACCACAGTTAATAGTTCCACAATTTCATATTCGAGTTTTTTCAGAATTCTTGGGTGAATGCCATCTGGTCCTGGTGACTTGTTACTGTTTAGTTTATCAGTTGTTCCAAAACCTCCTCTAACACCACCTGAGTCTGGGACTATTCCTCAGAGTTGTCACATAAAAAGAATGGCTCAGGTTTGCGAATCTCATCCACAGCTGTGAAGACCAAAGCAAAGAATGCATTTAGTTTCTCCACAATGACTTCATCATCTTTGAATGCTCTTTTGGTATCATCCAAGGGTCCCACTTGTTATTTAGCAGGCTTCCTGCTTCTGATATACTTAAACATTTTGCTATTACTTTTTGAGTTTTTGGCTAGCTGCTCTTCAAACTCCTTTTTGGCTTTTCTTATTATATTTTTACACTTAATTTAGCAAAGTTTATGCTCCTTTCTATTTTCTTCACTAGGATTTGACTTCCACTTTTTAAAATATTTTTTTTTTATTGGTCACTGCTTCTTTTACTTGGTTGTTAAGCTACGGTGGCACTCTTTTGATTATCTTACTGTGTTTTTTTTAAATTTGGGGTATACATTTAAGTTGGGCCTCTATTATGGTGTCTTTGAAAAGTTTGCATGCAGCTTGCAGAGATTTTACTTTTGTCACTGTACCTTTTAATTTGTTTAACTATCTTCCTCATTTTTGTGTAGTTCCCCTTTCTGAAATTAAATGCTATAGTGTTGGACTGCTGAGGTATTTTTCCCACCACTGGAATGTTAAATATTGTTACATTATGGTCACTATTTCTAAGCGGTCTAGTTATATTTACCTCTTGAACCAGATCCTGTGCTCCACTTAGCACTAAATCAAGAATAGCCTCTCCCCTTGTGGGTTCCAGAACCAGCTGCTCCAAGAAGCAATCATTTAAGGGATCAAGAAATGCTATCTCTGCATCCTGTCCTGAGGTGACATGTACCTAGTCAATATGGGTATAGTTGAAATGCCCCACTATTATTCAGTTTTTTATTTTGATAGCCCCTCTAATCTCCCTTAGCATTTCATAGTCTCTATCACTGTCCTGATAGGTGGTTGGTAATATATCCCTAATGATTCTTTGGAACATTTAGGGTCATTTAAGATTTTTACTTCATTTTATTCTATATGATTTTTCTTTCACATATACTGCCGCTCTTCTACCAGCACAATCTGTTCTGTCCTTCCGATATATTTTGTACCCTGGTATGACTGTGTCCCATTGATTGTCCTCATTCCACCAAGTTTCCGTGATGCCTATTATATCAATATCCTCTTTTAAATATACCTCTCTGTCAGCTGAATTAGTCTGAATGGTCAACTTGCTTTGGGATAAATCTGTCCACAGGCTGTTTACACAGCAGGAAAACGAGTTTTTCATTTTGGGGTTGCACAGAAATAGTGGACCTGTGTGTGACTTTGTCGAAGGCCAGTGGAACTGATCAGTTCATCTTTTTTGCTTGAATACTGTATTATGAAATAGCAGTGAGTAGTGGTTAGATACTCCTGGGTTCTAGCTGGCTGGGGTTTGGGGTGGGATCTAGAGGAGAGAGCAGAGGAGGAGCCAGGATCCCTGAATTCTGTTCTCTGCTCGGGTATGGGGAGTAATGGTCTAAGCTGCATCATAGGTAGGTGCCCTTTGTTGGTATAGTGTACTGGGATAGCTGTACTGGGAATATGCTCTTTGAGTCTTACTCTCCAAAGTTTTCAAGTTAGCATTTTTCACTGGAACTAATTTTGCAACAAAATGTAAGAAAAACTAATAGGAAATATTAGGCTCCTAGGAATTGCCAAGCTGTTACAGATCAGTGACTACTGTATTTTCCGGCGTATAGGGCGACTGGGCGTATAAGACGACCCCCTATCTTTTTAATTAAAAGATAGGGTTTCATCTTATACCCCAGCGCCCCTCTGCCTCCTTTGCTCCCAGTGTCCCTGGTCTGCTGGAGATGGTTCCCAGCAGACCAGAGGCACCGGGAGCAAAGCCGCAGCAGCTTTGCAAAGCCTCGGGGGAAGCCGGCGGGGGGGGCGCCCCAGGGAGCCCTGGGTGGAA